AAGGCCTGCCTGCTCGTTTCCCTACAGCACCTTCGGCACCCGGAACAGTGCTGGCATATAATGGATGTTCGATAAATACCCACTGAAGGAACAAATACATCCATCCATCAGAAAAGCAAGCTGTCAAATTAAATCTGAGTGTGTGTCTCTGAGCTTTTCACTAATCTCCATTTCCTTGATCACTGATCACGACTCACCAGCACATGACAGCAGTCAGAAAGGGTTTAAGAAAAGCGTCTACAAAGACACTTTCTTGTTTTTAACTGGATCTGCCCATTAATGTCAGGTCTTCCGTGAATTGGGAAAGAGTTTGGTCTGGCTGATCCCAGGCAAGTCAGAGCCTCCAGGAGGAGGGGAAATAATCAGAGAGCTGTAGGAAGCCTTTGAAACCTTGTCTGAATTTGCTGGCCTGGCGGGGAGGGGAGAGCTCTCCTTCCCCTGGGGCACAGAGGCTGGAGACCACGGCAGTGGGAGGCCCTGTGCGGGAGCTGGGGCTGGGCGCTGGGCGCTGGGCGCTGGGCGCTGGGCGCTGGGCGCTGGGCGCTGGGCGCTGGGCGCTGGGCGCTGGGCGCTGGGCGCTGGGCGCTGGGCGCTGGGCGCTGGGCGCTGGGCGGGCTTGGTCGAAGTACATCTGGGGTTGGAAGCCAGAGCAGGCCCACCTTCCAGGTGCTTGTGAGATGCAAATATTGGGAACAATAGGGCCCCTGTCCCCAGGACTTTTGTGGCAGAGGCTGAGCTTCAGGGAAGCAAAGCTCCTTCACCTTGGCCATGGTGAGACTTGTTTCTGGGGCAGCCCCAGGTGCACAGACCTGCCCACCCCTGGGGGCCCAGGACTTTGGGTAAGGAGAGGCATTCAGCTGCACTAACCACCCTCTTATCTGCCACCCTGACTTCCCAGGACAAGCTCAGGGGGAACAAGCCCTGGTGAGTAGTCAGGTCTTCATTTTCCTCTTTTGTCTCCACCTCACCACCCCTTTCCTGGGCACAGCCATCCCTGGAGCTGTGCTGGCACCCCTGGGCCCTCTGGCTGCCAAGTGAGACCTTGTGAGCATTAGGGCTCACCCGCTAACACACCGAGTCCCTCAGCTGTGCGCCGGGGCTCTAGCCCTGCCCCCAGACTCTAACTCCTGCTGCCCCGGCCCAGGCTGCTGCCCCACAGCTACAGGGGCTCCATCCACCCTGTCATGGCTGTGAATGTCTGGCTGACAAAAACTGAAGTGCCCTTTGGGCAGAGTTGATTATAGTCTGATTTCAGGTTGGGGCCACCCCTTCCACCCGCAAAATGTGTAGGTAAGTGACACAGCGGGCAAGAGGGGCCCAGCAGGGTCCCTTGAGATCGGAGTCTCCCCTGAGTGGCCTCTTCTCCATCCCTCTAAGGCATGGGGCCCGCCTTCACCCATCTTGGTCAGAACCAGGAGTGCGTGGCGTGGCGTGGCGTGGCGTGGCGTGGCGTCCGGCACAGGCTAGCTGGGAGGCGCCCTTGCTTCCTAAGCGCCTATGCTGCTGGGCTGCTGCAGGGTTGGAAAGGCCCCTCACGAATGGTTCCTTTGAGCTGAATGAGGCCCACTGTAGAGCTGCAGATGGTGTATTATCTTGGGGAGGGAGAGTAAGTCATCGTGCTAGGAAGGGGGAGGGCTGGGAGGAGGTGGTCTCATCAGTCTTCTGTCTAGACTCTCCAGTTTGGAGAACAGATGTCCCCTGTCCAGCTCCTCTGCCTGCCACAGGGTCCTGGAGACACAGGGTAAGTCCAGCTGCAGAGCGTGGGGTGGGGGGAGGCAGAGGCCTGCACCCCTCCTGCACTTCTTCCGTCCTCCCTGTGCTCAGCGCCCCTTCCCAAAGGCCCAGGAGGAGGAGGAAGAGGAGGATAAATATGAGCTGCCCCCCTGTGAGGCTCTGCCTGTGAAGCTAGCCCCTGCCCACCTTCCCGGCAGCGAGGACTCTTTGTACATGGGTGAGGGCTGGGAAGTGGAGACAGAGAGTTTGGGTGGCCGGACAGGACAGGAGGTCCCCACAGTGGAAGAAGGTGAAGGGCTGGCCTCTTCTCCATCTGTGCTGGGCAGCAAGGTGAGGCCCCAGCGGGCAGCTGCTGGGGCCTTCTGGCGGGGAGAGGGGGGAGGAGGGGAAAGGAGGAGACGGAGAGGTGGGGAGAGGGATAGAGGGGGAAGGAGGTGGAGAAAAGGAGGGAGGGAAGAAGGAAGAAGGAAGGCAGAAGTTGGGAAAGGGAGAGGAGTCTGGAGGGGCAGTGTAACCAAGGCAACAGAGGGAAAGCAGGAGACTTAGGCCTGACTTGGTCTCTGGGGCCTGATGCTCCCCGTCTGAGATCCCAGCAGTCTCAGAGAAAGGGTAGGGGTGCCAGGAGAACCCACTGGCAGGGCCAGATGGGGGCAGGGAAGCTGGCCACCTTCAGTTGCCATGGAGACGGGGCTGTTGGGAAACTAGGGAGCTGGGAGGACAGGGAGGGAGCGACGAAGAAATAGAGGCTAGGTGGGGGCGGGAGCAAAATGGGAACTACATCGGAGGAACCTAGCTACTTACGGTGTCTGGGGTCTTTTCCAGATCACTCTGGCCCCCTGGGCCCGTCCAAGTCACCACCAGCCAAGCCCCCGTCTGAGATGGTGAACAGCCTTCCCATAAGTCCCTCCTTCCTCGCCCCCCACCCCAACCCCAGGCTACCATTTCCCTGTGAATAAATCTAAGAGGCATCTCATTTGCAAGATTCCCCCACATCTGCACTGAAGAGGTCCCTGAAAAATCAGATGCATCAGAAGCCTGAGCCCTGTGAACAGTCACTTCTCCCTCTGCCTGGCCTGGTCCTTGCCCCTCCCACTCAGTCCCACCTGAGCCCCACCCTGCCGGCCAGAGCTGGGAAGGTGGGGGAGGGAGACAGAACAGGCTCTGTCGCCCCTCCCCGCACCCCTGTGCCCATTCAGCTGCCAGTCACTGCCAGTTCTCCTTCCTGCCACGGTCCTGCTAGGGCCTTTGAAACTACCACTTCCATCATATCCTTTATTGGAATGAAAAGAAAAACAGGAGAGATTCACAACCAGGAGCGAGCCACAGAATCCAGGCAAAGGGGGGAGTCTCCCCTCTACACATGAACTGTTGCAGTTTTTAAGCTGCACAGATCTACATTGCCCTCCCCTCTTTGCCCTCCCCATGCCTCAGTTTCCCCTCCACTCCCCCCCCAGTTCTCCCTCACCGCTGGTTGTGTCCACAGCTGAAGGCAGCCCTGAGCCTGCAGGAGACCGTGAAGCAGGGACAGCCATCTGGGAGGCGAGGTGATGGGGGTCTGTTCTTTCCAGAGCCCACGCACTGCCCTGCCTGAGGGGTTCCTGCCCCACAGGATACAGTTGAGCTGCCTTATGGTGGGCTCCTGCTGGCCCTGGTCACTGCAGTCCCCCAGCTGTCCCTTATTTTCACCTGCCCATCCCACGAACGCAGGCAGTGGAGGGGACTGAGACCCCAGACAACACGCTTTGTCTGAGATCACACAGAGCAGAGCCCGGTGCCCTCGGGTCGGGGAAGGACACCACAGGGTGACAGGTCTGACAGGTGGCCTACTCTGCCTGGGGCACCCTCACTGTGGAGACACATCTGAATCCCACCCCCCATCAAAGGGCCCTTTGGCCACCAGTCTCTGATTCCATTCATGTCCTTATTGCCACCACTGTCCAGAGACTTTCCCCGAGGTAAGTGCCTGTAGGCCTGTGACCCCAGAACCCTGGATGTCAGACCTCAGCCACCATGTTTGTGTCAGATAGTGGCCCCAGGAGGGGCAGCCTCCTCCCACCCAAGGTCAGACAGCGACCCTGAGGCACATTTATTTTTACATGCTCAGTGGTTGGTAAACCTTCATGACCTTGAGGGGTTTTGATTTTTGGAACAGCCCAGAGTCACTTGGAGCCAAGCCTGGCAAATCATTTGGGAGGTCAAGTCAGGCAACACCCTGGGGTTGTGAAGGCGGCGATGGTGGGTGGTGAGGGTGGCTTTCCACCCGGCTTCAGTGCCAAGGACTCTCCCCTCTTCCAGCCGCTTCCACTCCAGTCCTTTGTCCCTTCCCTGTGACTGACTGTGCGCTCCTTCTCCCCCCAGAGCTGAGTGCACCAGCCCGAGCGGTGAGCAGCCCCTCAACCCCTCACACTCTAGGGTTCTCACTGGGGTGCGTGGGAGGGCCAGGAAATGTCCCTGAAACCCAGGGAAAGGCCCAGAGCTGAGTCCCTCCTGCCGGCCACAGGCCCCTGGCAGGGTGCAAGTCAGTTGTCCTGAGGATGCTCCCCAGAGCTGCTGGGAGGGCCCTGTCCAAAGCTCCCCCTGGTCACCCACATTCTCTGACAGCTGGGGCCTGTGGGCACATCTGACGGGGAGGGTGCTTGTGGAGTGCCCCCTCCAGGCAAAGGAGCAATTGTAATCATTCCAGCTGGCTCCTGGAAAGAGGTTCACCTTGTGAAGGGGAAGTGAGGTGCCAATACCTGCCCCCCCCCCCAAGTGATGGCTGCCCTTCCTCGTACTCGCCAAACCCTTGGTCCCACACACCCCTCTCTGTCTCAGATGACAGGTTCTGCAGAGCAATCTGATGAGGACATCTACCTGGAGTGTGAGCCCAATTCAGGTGAACACCTCCCTGGCCCCAGACCCATCACGCCGTGAGGCCCCCCACTGCCCGCTGCATTCCTCGGACCCCATTCCTTCCCTCGTCTCTCACCATCCCCGCCAAAGCACATCTGCCTCCGGACACACACACGGACACACGCTTCCACCTTGGGTCCAGGTTGACTCCCACTGTGGCACAAGGGAGAGGGCCCCTTAGAGCAAGGGCTATGTGGGGGGCGTCCCAGCTGTCGCCACCTGGTTGGAAGGATGCCCAGAAAGCCCTAGCTGCCCCTGCGGTTGTCCTCGCCCTTCCTGGCCTGCGTGGGCTTCCTTGCCTGTGCCCAGCCCAGCAGGGCCTGCTCTCTGTTCTAGTTCCTGCCTTGCCTCAGGCTCTGAGCTCCCAAGTCCTGATGCCCCCGGTCCCTCTGCCAAGGGCATCATTAGTGCCTAGGTGAGTGCCCTGCCAAGGGTGTGTGTGTGTGTGTACGTGTGTGTGCATGTGTATGTGTACATGAACATGTGTGTATGTGTGTGTGTGAGAGAGAGATGCACTCAGGCTTCCCCAGCCCTGGGCCTTTCTTTTTGAAAGAAGTAAAGATCCTGAGGTCTGTTCCCCAACTTTCTCCCCACAGGCCCACCAGAGCCCCCCAGGAAGCTCAGAATGTAAGAGGCTGGTGGTCAGGGGGGAAGTGAGCTGGGAGGGAGGGAGGGAGAGTCTCAGAGTGGGACTTCAGGCCCAGAGAAGCCGAGTCTCTTCTGACCAGACCTCCTGTGTCCCAGGGAGCAGCGACGGCCACCTCTAAAGGTGAGTACAGGCATCTTCAGCAAGAACCTGGGGAGTCCTGCCGGGGCCCACCCCAGCCACAGCCACTCACACCCCACTTTGCTGAGGGGGTCCCTGCAGCTCTCGGGCATTTTCCAGGGTCTTCATCAAAGCAGGAAGCTCCAAGCCTGTACCTCAAGAACACTCCTCATTTGGAGGTCACGTGTGGTCTAGCTGGTGGGTCCCACCAGAGCCAAGACCTGGAGAGGAGGGATGAAACACTGGGTGCCCTGCTTTGGGTTTCAGCCCTATGCCCACCCCGCTCCAACCCTCCCACCCCTACCGCTGGGCCCCAAGCCTCCTTTGTCTAATCTGCGTCTCCCAGCAGGAAGGAGTTCCTCTCTTTCCTCTGTACCCCTCACGGGAAGCAGCTCAGCTGCTGAGGTGAGGAGGGGCTGGGAGGGCTGGGGGCAGAGGCCTACGAGAAGTCCTCCGGGGCTTGTGTCCACCACTGCAAGGACACGCGGGTGTGGCACCCTGCGGGGTACCAGGCACAGGCATATCTTTGTCCAGCTTGCACAGACTCAGTCTGGGGAAGGCAGCTGTGAACACAAATAACTGTACCCAGGGTTCTCCGCTCCCCACCCCCTCCAGTGTCCCAGTGCACACATCTCTGAGCGCCTGTGTGTGTGTGTGTACAGGACGGCAGCCTGCAGGGTCAGCCTTGGTACTCAGGCAACTGGGACCGTCATGCTGTTGAGAGTGCCCTGCTCCAATGCCAAAAGGTGGGCAACCACAGAGCCCCTGGGCCTTCTCAGAAACCCCTTCTGCTCATGGGCTGTGGCTGGCTGAGCAGGCAGGGACAGCAGGGCAAGGGGTGGGGGATGGCCATCGAGGGTCAGGCCTGCAGGTGGGCAGTTAGAAGATGAGGCTGATGGACAGATCTCTTCCGCAGGATGGGGCCTACACCGTGCGCCCCAGCTCAGGACCTCGTGGCCCCCAGCCCTTCACCCTGGCAGTGCTCCTCCACGGCCGGGTTTTCAACGTTCCCATCCGGCGGGTGCACGATGGGCTCTATGCCCTGGGCCGGGAGGGCAGGAACCACGAGGAGGTGGGTGCTGGAGGAGGCAGGGCACTCAGGGGCAACTAGCACACAGCAGAGCCAGGAGTATTTGCCCAGGGGAGACCCACGTTTTATTTCTCTGGAGTGGGTGGAAATGACAATGGCCAGTGGCCTGAATCCCTTCCCAGAGGTCCACCTTCCTCTCAGGGAGGCACTTCCTCCTGCGTGTCTCAGTCTGCACAGGGCCCAGGTGGGGCACTTGTACCTGTAGTGGACCAGCTGGGAGGTCAGCAGGGCTCAGGTGGCCCAGGCTCCTGTCTGTGCCAGGTCTCAAACTTGCGCCCCAACCTTGCTACGGGAGTGCCAGGCAGAGGCAGCTCCCTAGAGTTTTTTCCATCTGGCCTTGGACATATGATTTGGCCAAGAACATGCCCATGGGTGTAGTCACAAGAAAGTTTCACAAGGCCTGGAACTGGGTAGCAAAATGGCAGTGGAGCCTCGTGAAACAAACAGGAAGGGAAATATTTACAGAAATGTCAACAAGGCCCCTGGCCATAGTCCAGCAGTTTTGTCAGGAAGTTTCTCTCAGCATGAGGTCCCAGGGTCTCACGGATGCCCTGCCTTTCTGTCCAGCGCTTCTCCTCCGTGGCTGCCATGGTCCAGCACTACACGCAGCACACCTTGCCCCTCGTGGACAGACACAGTGGCAGGCGGCAACTCACCTGTCTGCTCTTCCCCACCAAGCCCTGAAGCCCAGGGGATGTCCACACCCGTGTCTGGCCCCTTGCCCCATCCACCTGTCCACCTTGGGCTGTCCCCTCTCTCTTATCTCCCACCCCTCCACCCCTCCAGCCCCTCCCCATACCTTGTCCCAGTCCCTGCAGGCCCAGATGAGAGGCATTGGGAAAGGTTGCCCAGAGACAAAGAGGTTCCCTGAGGCCCCATGCCACCTCACCCAGAGCATGCCCTGTGCTCTCTGCTGCCTCTCCAAGGCTGGGGAACAAGGGTCAGGCAGGGCCTCCATTCCCAGCCCCAGGAATGGCTGTGTTACCGTCACTAGGGCCTTCCAAGCTGCTCTGGATGAAGGCCTCCGAGAACCTGAGCCTCTGGGGACAAGCGTGAGCACCGCTGGGGCACAGAGAATCCTCTCACATTCTTCTGGGGGCTTAACACAGGGCTGGCATCTGGGAGGAACTTGGTTGCCCTGCGCGTATTTTGCTTTCAATAAATATTTGTTGAATGAATTGTCGAATGTGCGGGGCGAAGCAGAGGCGGCCTCCGTGGGACTCCGAGGTTCCCCAGCGTCCCGGGGCAGAGTCGCCCGGGAGGGACAGCAGGAGCGGCCGGGCCAGGGCAGTGTGGGCCCGCCCCACTTCTGCGCCCTAACTGGGCGACGGTCCTTAGAGGGTCTGTGGCGAAGAGGAGGGAGGCCGGCCTGGGGTGGGGGCTGGTTTTGTTTTGCTTTGTTTGCAGTGGTCGGAGAGGGGAAGGGAGGAGGCTCCGCGCGTCTCCGCCGCTCGGTAAGCAACGAGAACGGAGTTAAGTACTTAGGACACCCGGGGAGGCAGGCGCACCCCAGGGCGCCCGGGGAGGCAGGCGCACCCCAGGACGCCCGACACGGGGCTCGCCAGCTCCGGGAACAGATCGCTCGGCTGGGCGGTGGCCCTCCGGCCTGCGAGGCCATCGGGGTTTAGGGCTCCGTTTTCGGGGCTCGGAGAAGGGCGTGGCCGCGGGGCTGGCGCGGCGCCTGGAACACCCGGTGCCGGAAGCGCCATGTGACTGTGACTCCGCAGAAACAAAGGGCGGCTCTGGGCCGCCCCGCCCTCGGCTGCCCGTCTGCCCGCACCCTCTACCCGTGTGGGCCCTCGGCCTGGCCTGCCACGGACCCGGGGCCCCGCCGAGCCCCAGGGCCCGGAGCCGGGAGCCCAGGGGAGCGGGAGGGGACCCGGGGGACACCGCGGAGGGCCAGTGCGAGGCGCTCTCGGGGCCAGGCTGCCGCTGTGGTTACCGCCCTGCACGTGCCCGGTCCGGCCTTGATTTCTGTTACAGAGGTGAAGAGACGCGTCTCTACCCAATTATCCGGGGTTAGGCGTTTCCCGCATAAAGCGGCCAGGGCTGGGCAGGGCCTGCTGGGCAGTGCCCGCTCTCCCCAGTACGCATGTGACTCCGCCCCACGCACTGCCACTTTCGAGTAGGTTCCCTCCAGGGCACCGGGAAGAGGAGCGGGATGGGCATCGGGCACGGGGCAGGGTGAGGGTGAGCCCTACTGTGTGTGTATGTGGGGAGGAGATTAGCACCTGGGGGCTGTAGCAGAAGCAGGGGGGATAGGAGACCCCCCAAACAGCCTCTCTCAGCTCTGTTAGCCAGCTCTGCTCTGTAGGTCCTGGATGGCAGTGTCCTCTGTACACTGTCCCCAGCCTGACCGAGGTGGACTGGCCCTCGAAAGGACCCACGTGGGCCCAGCTGGGGGACTACCTGGAAGGAACTAACCTCCAGGCCTTCCCTCCCTGGGGAAAAGGAGAGAAGGAGCAGCCCAGGCAGTGGGGACAGTGAGGGACAGTGAGTGCCAAAGGGACCCTGAATACCGAAAAGCATGGTCTGGCTCCTGCCTCCTCAGCCTCCAGTTCTGCTCTTAGACGCCCCGCTTTTCCAGGAAGGCTTCATGGCTCCCCCAGTCTGGACGCGGGTACTCAGGACATGTCCTAGCAATGGCCTTTTCACTGCCGGGACAGGACCCGCTGCTCCTACTGCACCCACCGCGGCGTCTCCAGGAATGTAGTAGGAACCAAATATTTGTTGAGTCATGGAATAGGTCAGGTCTACCCTAGATTCCTTTAGGGCCGATAACATTCCTTGACTAGGGCTTCCTCTGTGAGAGAAATGTCAAGGGCAGCGCGTCCAACAGAAGTTTCTGTGATATCCACATGCCCAGTACAGCAGCCACGAGAGGTTTCCAAGCACTGGAAATGTGACTAATGTGACCAAGGAACTGAATTTTTAATAATAATGGGATTAATTTTAATTAGTTTAAATAACCACATATGGTTGGTGCTATTCTATTTTTCCAAACCTGTTTCCTTCCCAAGTGTGAGGGACAGTGGTGGGTGAGAAAGCTGCAGAAGTTGGGGGAGGGGGAGTTCTGGAGAAGCCCAGGAGGCTCCCCTAAAGAGTGTGGGCAAAGGGGAGCCATTGAGGCTCTGAGCGGGGTGGGTGCAGGAGGGATTGTGTTGTACGAGGATTGTGTGAGGTGCTGCATGGGCTGAGGGCCGCAGAGAGGCAAGGAGGACAGTTAGTGGCTACAGATAGTTCTGGATTCAGGTGAGGGATGTCACCCCTTGATGTGTATGCCATGTCGGTGTCCCTCCAAGCCCCGCATTCCCATTTCCTCTCACCCAGCAGGTCAAACTCTAGAAAATTCTAGACAGTGTCACCAACTTGGGGATCAAGTCTTAGATGCCATTTGGTGAAGAAGCCCATATATTACTGAGAGTGACTGCCGGTCTCCATTGGCAGGGAAGGGTCTGTAGGACTGGGGGGAGCCAGGAAAGTGTGTAGGGGGAAGGGCATGAAGCCATGGTTATGCACCCTGGCAAGACCACACCTGCTGGAGCCAGCGTGTGCTCGGTGCAACCTCCAGCAAGCTTTCAGCTTTGGTTTCTAAAGAGGCAGCCTGACCTTGAGAGGGAATCCAAAGGACCCAAATTCGAGTCTGGCGGTCACTTACTGCCTGCGGGAGCTCTGTCTTTTCACTTTTAAAATGGGGCTAATAATATCTAAGTTGTTGTGAGAATGAGACATGATATACATAAGATATAGTTAGCTTAACACAGAGCCTGACATATAGTGGAGCGAAATGATTCATACCTAATAATAATTTTAACTGCGAATAGGCCAAGCTTGGTTCTGGTCCCACCTGAGTACTCCATGTTCAGGGGATCCTCCTGACCTGGGCTTCCCAACACACACACACACACACACACACACACACACACACACACGTACATGCAACCTTTAGGTATTATAGGCTCTGCGACTGTTGTTTTGTTTGTCCACCTGGCTTTCTTGTTACCCTCCTCCTGGTAACATGACCCACTCCTCCCACCATAGGGCCAGGCATGTGACCTAGTTCTGGCTAGGACCAAAGCAGGGCCAATCAAAGCCTTCTTTGAGATGGATTGATTAATGTGGAGAGAGAAGCCCCGTTTTCAAACTTGAACGTGGGTTGCAAGTTGCCACCGTCCCTGCCACGTGGACAGAGCTTGTCTGCAGAAGTCAGGCAAAGACAGGAGAAAATCTTGGAGACACTGAGTGCTGCTCCAAGGCCCTAGCCTTTGCAATAGTACCCCTCCCAGCAGTGTGAGCTAGAAATTGCTTTTTTGGTCTAAACTAGTGGGAGTATGGCCTCTGATATTTGTAAAGAAGACGTCTGCTTGGTACAGGCACTTGTGTCCTTGAAGTTTGGGGTCATTAAAGGAGTTACCTGAAGTACAGAGTTAGTGGTGGAACCAGAATCCAGACTTGTCTGGCTGGCTGTAGACCCACCGTAAACTGTACTACACATCATTCACAAGTATTCATTGAGTAACATACTCGGTGCCAGGCACCTAACTAGCATCTCATTCCTCCTCCACACCTACCTTCATTCCCATTCTCTAAGGACTCGGGATATTAAAAGAAAGACAGCCCTAGTCCACTAGGATAGGGCCCAGCATACTCACTGTCTTCCCAGAATCAATACTCCCACAGTCGTCCTTATGTGCCAAGGATATTCGAGAAGCCAGCCACCTGCCTACCTACCACCTACATGGTCTGCTCAGCAGGGAGTAAGTCCTAGCTCTGGCCCAGGGCCCCTGGCAGAGATTCTGCCTGCACCCCATTGTGAGCAGCTATGATTCTGCTGCCCTGAAGGCCACTGTGACCATTTATGGGGATACTGAGGTTGTTTTAAAATAGCTCTTGACAGCCCTGGCTGAGTAGCTCAGTTGGTTAGAGCATCGTCCCGATACCCCAAGGTTGTGGGTTTGCTCTCCAGTCAGGGCACATATAAGAACCAACTAATGAATGCATAAAGAAGTGGAACAACAAATGATGTTTTCTTCTCTCTTTCTAAAATCAATCCATCAATAAAAATGAATAAAATTGCTATTGATCTGAATTCTCCTCTATGTTCCCTTTCTTTGCTTTGTGAATCTGGTTAAGGAGAAAAAGGGGTGTTGGGAGCAGGACTTTGGGATCATGGTTTCCAAATCTGGTTCTCAGAACAAGCATGAACCATGATGATGATGTCACCAGTCGGTGACAAAAAGAAAAATACAACCCCAAGAGTGAGCTTTTCCTGAAGCAAAGGACCATTCTCTAAAGAAAAATCAAATTCTTCCTCCTTTTTTGGTATTAATATATACTTTCTTTCAGATCACTTGATTCTGCTGGGCCTCATCATTCACATGGGGTGGGAGGGACAGGGCGGTGGTCCAGATAACCTCGGACAGTATTTTCAACTATGAAATTTCAAGATCCTCAGGGCCTTGGGCCAAATACACTGCTGCCTGGGATTATATCTCACAGCCTGGCCTGCCTTCCCCTCCCTCCCCAGCACCCCCCCCCAACCCCCCCTGGAAGCTCAGCCCCACAGGCTGGCCTTCAGCTGAGCTCTCCTGGGTGCTCCTTGGGGAGAAGTGTTCCATCTGCAGTGTACTCTGGATGAAATGATAACCCAGGAGGTACAGTTTATAAAAAGCAAATGTGGGTTT